CAGTATTAATTTGGCTATCAATATTTGGGTTTTGTTGAATAAATACCGTATCTTTGTTATCACTGTGTACGTCAGACTCTTCTACACTTGTCACTGTCGCACCGCTCACACAGCGCGCTTCGTACAAACCCTTGTGACATTGCTCCTACCTTGACGGGTGATCACGAAAATTCTGATTGTTAATAAGAATAATAATAATAATAATAATAATAACAACAACAACAACAACAACAACAGAAGACTGTAGCATAATTATTGTCAGCAGTGTTTCAAACTAACTCTTACGAACTAATCGAAACGAGCTTACAGGTTAGCATTCGTGATATCTGATTAATTATTGCTTACCTGTGCAATTAAGGCTCTTCTGTTCGTTATATTTTCCCCTTTTACATCCTAAAATGAAATCATGTATTTTAGTTTGGAACAAGGAGATTTTAGCTTAATAATAATTACGGTTTTCAATTACACACATTTTACTCAGTTTCCCAGACGGTTTCTGTTTCAGTGGCTGGGTTTGGCCGGATCGCGTGACACAGCTTCTTAACCGAAAAACCCAATATAAACTACTTTCATATTCAAACCGATTGTTATATTTAGGGAAAATGAATTACGACACGAACATAGAGTAAATTGCATAGATTCTGAAGTATCCACGCCATTTCCTGTTATATTGAACAATAGATAATGATGGAAACAAAATTTGCCTCAAGCATTTCTGTTGGATTTCGTAAGAATAGCTGCGTGTGATGTGTTGAAAAGGAGATGACACCGCAATGGCTTTGAAATTACAATACTAAAGGTTCAAGAACTTGATAGACATACGGTCCTATCAGATGCATAAATTTGGTAAGAAAATACATTTTGATGTAAATGTGTATGTAATTAGTCTTGTAACTGTCGAGCAATTGTTCGTTAGTTCTTCTATGGAATTTGGTGCCCCTAAAGAGAAGGATCATAACTAAAAAATTATGATCGAAATTGCAGGAACAGTGTTGTAGCCGGATTTAATGTCTGCAAAGCGCTTGCGTGAACCGCTGGCAACTTGTTGCTGAGCACATGCTGTGGATCATGATATTATTATGTGTAATTAGTTCAGTGGCGTAAATTACATGTTAGTTAAATGCTAAAGGAAATAACCGTATTTTATTAGATCTAAAATGCAAATTAAAATCGCTACGAATTGTACCTTACTGAGAGACGGTTCCTTCGAAAGCGCAACTCACGTGGTCATAGTTTAGTGCTGGTCGTAACCATCTTGAAAAAGACAGCGCAAACTCTCTTGGAAAGACGACGTGAGTTCGTCGTAAGCCGTGTTTGAGACGCATCATTGTAAACGCCATTTGGATTCGACTGTGCACGCCTTGACGTAACCATAAGTCACGGCTGGCTTTCGTTTTATCGTTTCATAAAGATACATTTATAAACTTGGCCCCACGGGAAAAAGACAAAAGAAATCACCTTGGTTATTCCCCGAAGCCTTGAAGGCAAGTATGAATTTTACTAAATGAAAGTTGTTATTTCTACCAATGAAAGGAATTGTTAATTTAAAATTACAATAGTTAACCCAGGACCTAGCACATGTCGGAATGGCGAACGTGATCAAAAGAAAAGCATTTCTTTTGTTTTATTCCCCGAAGCCTTGATGACAAAAATATGAATTTTCATAAATATATATATTTTTTTAATTTCTACCAATTAAAAGATTTTTTAGTTTTGAAAGTACAATAGTTAACCCAAGACCTAGCGCATGTCGGAATGGCGAACGTGATTGCGCTGCAATTAACGCAACGGAAATTTGTTGCAGTTCAGTGTTACCTCTGGTTCAGATTTTTTTCCCCATTGTTTCACACTCACCCCACCGCACGCTACCATATTTTTACAACATTCTCTATTTTCCAATTCCCCATAATACACTCTGTTTGCCCCCCAAATTTTGCATAAACCATTGTTTTTAAATGCTCCTGAGAGTATTGCATTTTCCCAAGAGCATTTTAAGACAATAAGTTATGCAAAATTTGGGGGGCAGACAGAGTGTATTATGGGGAATTGGAAAA